ATATGTCTTGCAGAAAGGACACTTACTTATCTAGACAGAGGGCAAAAGGGCAGATGCTTGAGCACCACCTGGGGTCCACAAACCTGAACATTAATGTTGGGCGCAAGAGATGACTTTAACAAAGCTTCTTATTGTTAACTAGAAGGCAAGAACAACATGCTTCATATCTAACACACAGGACCACAATAGGCCCTGTTACCCTCTGATATACTTAACACACTGAGAAATAACAACAATAGCACATCACTTCCTGCGTGATGGCTGTGAAACATGCCAGAGAACATACAGTACCAGACAGCAGTTGTAGGTGTGAGTGTAATGTCCCTGTGTACTAACTTCTCAACACAGTTCAAGGTTACTAATTATCTTCTCTCATGGTCTAGTGGTTAAAGACATACATGCTCATACTCATTGCAAACAGTTATGCATGTTGAAAGAAATCTCAGTAATCTATGCATTATTGTTTAAGTAGCTCTATGGTCTCTATTCACCTGAAGGGGATTCCAGGTGTGGCTGGTGATACAGGGCAGACAGGTTCTCCAGGAGCTCTGGTAGGCCAATACTTCTTCTAAACACCATATTCTCAAACCGGGGAACTAATGTGAAGTTGTTAACATACTAAAAGTAGTCATTTTTGACTTCAACAGGGCCCCTCAGGAAAGCCAGGCCAAGATGGGATCCCTGGACCAGCTGGTCAGAGAGTAAGCAGATCATACTTTTTTTTTTTTTTTTTTATGATATTCAGTATTGCATAGGATGTATATGAGGAATATTGTTTTCTTGTGTTGACTCTGTGGCATTTTACTTGAAAGACCACATTAACAAAGAATGAACACAGTAAAGGTTGAATTGAAGTTATTCATGATAAACATGTGAATAATTTATTTCAATATCTCTCTTGAGGGCTTCATGGGGAAACCAGGGTTGATGGGCCCCCAGGGACCAGTGGGAATGTATGTAAGTGACAATAACAAACTGTTAATGTAGCCACTAAGCTGGTTTAATCAGGATGATGATAGATGGCTTTGTTTTTCCCTTTGATTTTAAAGTCTTTTTTTCAAACTGTACTGTGAAAAAGTTTACTCCTTTCTGAATCAACTGAAGTACTTCTGTACTTAGCATTCTAATTTGAGCCAAGTTTTTTGTTCATGTAAAAAATAATTACTTTTTTTTTATTTGTAATTGGCAAATTGTAACAAAGAAACTGATGCCTAAAATTTTCCATGGCTTTGATTTTTGAATTTGAAATGTGTGAACTACTTTAGTAAATGGTCTAAAATTACATATGACTGAAAACTTAAAGCCTTAACTTCTCCCCAGGGTTACTCTGGATCAGTGGGTCTGACTGGGAGACCAGGCCACATGGGGCAAAGAGTAAGGCGTGATCCCTGATCTACATTTTTCAAGTGTAATGACTTAATACGAAGGCTTGAGTCTTGATACAGAAGTTAAATCATATCTTACACACTACAATAATCATCATACTGTAGTAACACACTTAGTGTAAGTCGTGTTATATAGGCTAAAAAACAAACCTCACTTTTACTGATTGGAATACTTTGCACATCAGGCTTAGACCATTAGAAACCCCAAACTAAATTGAATTTAGTATTTTTTTCAGATTGCTGCTTAACTGGAAAATTCAGTTATTAGAATTCTAAACTGGCCAAGCTCTCAGCCAGGCAGCAATAAAGTTTATGTCCAAAGTATTATGTTGGTTTTTGTCATTCTAAAATATAATTGCAGTATTTTCTGTTGACTGCAGGGAGATGCTGGTGTCAGAGGGCCTCCTGGCATCCAAGGACAGACTGGACCTCCAGTAAGTGTGTTTGGTGAAATGTGATGCATTTGGATTTTTTATCCAGATGATGCCCACACAAATAAACACGCATGCCCCATTTCTGCAAACCACAGATATGTTTTGGTTGTATGTTATTATGCAGCAGGTACATAAACTTTATGCTTAACAAGGCTGTGGTTAACATTCTGTTAGGTTTAGGCACAAAAAGCACTTTGTTATGGTTAGGAAAAGATCATATTTTGGCTTTAAAAAATGCTTATGGTAGCACTATCCTGGCAGGAAATCAATGATCTCTTGTGAAAAAAAATCCAACCACATTTTTGTGGTGGAAGCAGTAATGGGTCACTAAAAAACACCCAGTTTGGTGGCTAAAAATCCGCAGGATGGTGCTGTGATGCAGGCTTGCAGGAGTCTCGCCAAGGTGACATACCATCCACCTCACAATGACAAAGTCATCTCATGTACTATGTCACTTTAGAAACATTGATGTGATAAATATGAAATGTACAAATTTAACGATTCTGTGGTTTGTAGAAACGTACAATGCGAACATTTCCTTCTGGTGACTGGGGTGTTATCAAAACATTGTCTTCTCAGGGTCTGCAGGGCCCTCCTGGTGGTAGAGGGACACAGGGACCACAGGTAAGAACATGTAAACCCTAGAAATGTACTGATGAGACATCATCAACCAACTTAATGTGGGAGGATAACCTGACGTCATTGTTTTTTTCATCTCTTCCCTTCAGGGCCGTCAAGGAGAGCTGGGGCCCAAAGGTGTCCAGGGACTGCCAGTGAGTAGGTCTTACAAAAACATAGGGTTGTTACAGGCTCAGTATATCAGTTAGGCAGCATGGTGAGATGCTTTCTTTTCTCTCTGCTTCAAACATTTTGGTGTCATTCTATCTTCTCAGTGTAGCTGGCACACTTCCAGAAGCTGTCAACATAGCTGCAAGAAAAAAAAAATTGAATACTAACTAATAATTGGAAAAAGCAGAAATCTAATCACAGTGGGTCCTTTGGCAACGACATAATGCCACACACCCCCTGTACTCCTTAAAGGGATAGTGCACCCAAAAATGAAAATTCAGCCATTATCTACTCACCCTCATGCCGAGGGAGGCTCAGTTGAAGTTTTAGAGTCCTCACATCACTTGCGGAGATCCTAGGGGGGAGTGGGTAGCAGCACAACTCCACCTAATGGCTGACGGCGCCCCAGATTCAAACGTCCAAAAACACATAATTGAAACCACAAAATATCTCCATACTGCTCGTCCATAGTGATCCAAGTGTCCTGAAGCCCCGACATAAAAAGTTGTTTGGAAAAACGTCATTTGAACTTTTTAGCCTCTTGCGCGAGACTGTGAGACATGGGCACCGCCTTCATGTGTGTTCACGTGCTTTCGCTGGTCTCGCGCACACGAGAGCGTGGTCCACAGAGAGACAGTTCAGGATCTTTTCCATAATGTTGTCACACACTCAAAATAACAGTCTGAGCCTGTCAGTGGCAAAAGCAAGCACTTTTAGTGGACACACATTGACAGTGCACTACTGCCCATTAACGTTACATTGCAGCTGATTTTGTCGCTGCTACTGCTGTCTCTCAATACTCGATCAATTTCTAAAAAAAATGTCTCTGTTACTCATTTAGACACAAACACATGGGAAAATAGGGTCCAGATTAAAAAAAAAGTTTCCCTTTAACAATTAAACTCATAAAATGAGGCAATCTCAATGCTCAAGGCAGATCCTACAACTTCTGGTGTAGGATCTGCCCTCTGCTGAAAACAGATATTTTAGTGAAATGGAGACATAAATAGAGATACAGACAGTAGATTTGTGTTACACCCCTAGTTCATTCATTTTCTTTAAGGCAAAGTGGGAGCATCAAAATATTCAATCCCAGCATTTAACTGAAAAGTTACACCTGAAATTTGTTCAACATCACATCTTGATGATTTACAGTACATTAGTGCACTCTGAGATTTTTGGTAAATCTCACTTCTTGTGATCAGCTCCAGTTTAGTTCTTACATTTATGCTCTAAATGGTTTCAGGGCCCTCCAGGCCAGCCAGGACCAAAAGGCAGTATGGGGAGCCAGGGTCCTCCAGGGAGTCAGGGGCCTCCAGGACCACTGGGGTCAGCTGGACCTAGAGGGTTTCCAGTGAGTGGGTACTTTTTGCCATTCTCTTCATTTCATATTGAGATAAAAGTCAATGATGCAGCCCTAGAAAAAGCAAGTATACTAATCATATTGTAATGCAGTGTATTTTCTTTTCTGTTTTTTTGATCAGGGCCCACCAGGTGTGATTGGACTGATGGGTCAGGCTGGAGAGAAAGGAGATCAGGTAACTGACTTTAGCGTAGTTCTAAAAGATTGAAGACATTGGCCAACAGTAGTAGCTAACTGTAGTTTCAAACTGTGAAATGAGTCCAAGCCTAAAGAGAACCATTTAAGCAATTGAAGTCAGTTTAAGGCATATTATTTTTTGTTTTTATTTAAATTGTTTTTTGTTTTTGTTTTGTTTTGTTTTTAGGGAGCAGTGGGTCCTGCTGGTGATATTGGTGCTCCAGGTCTGGGTGGGCAGCAGGTCAGTTAGCTCACTGATCACACTGCAGCAGTCAGAGTACTATATAATGCATGCAGACAGATATTAAGTGTTATATACTCATTCCAAAATATTGCAATACATTTCCACTATGTTACTGATAAGTATGATTATGCATGTCGTGTTAGGGTCCTCATGGGCCTGCTGGTGAAGAAGGGATTCCTGGAACAAAAGGTGACCAGGTCTGTGACATTATTACGGAGCTGATTTTTTTTTTATTATATCAAACACACACATATTATATCATTACGCATTCATGATATAAATGTTGTATTAAAGACTACCTTAATATAAAGCTGAAAAGCAGTGTTTTACTGTCATCTTTAACTGAAAGTCTGACATGTGCTGCACCTGATTGGACAATGAATTGTATGGTTGTAATTGTGTTAGGGGTCTCATCTGTGGTCCCATACAATGGAATGCCATTTCAGTTAATATAAAATAACTAAATAAGTACATAAATAAATCTGCCTTTGAAATAAATAATTATGGTGATGAAATCCTGAAATAAATACATGAGGCAATAAGCATATAAATACATGTAAAAAAAATTGACACATAAATGAAAATTAATAAATCATTTTTTATCATTATTATTATTTTTAAAAGGACTATTTCAAAGAACTGCTTTTATTCATTTCAAGGGGTTTTTACTTCATAAGGAGACTGTACAAAGCAGGAAATCAGGCAACATTCAGCAATACATTCAGCAATGGATTAAATAACTCAGACAATCACAACAGACAATGTCCAGCAACTGTCAAACACTGTATTATCCTGAACAGGGAGCTCCGGGCCCCCAGGGACAACTGGGACTCAAGGGACCAAATGGAAAGCCAGGACCTCAGGGCTCCCACGGGCTGCAGGGTGAGCCTGGGCAGAGGGGCAAAGAGGTTAGATGTATTGTCATTCTATGCAACAATTTCATCTAAGGCTATAATTAACGATTATATAGTATAGTTATAGACATAGTCATCAATTAATCTGCTGATTATTTTCTGGTCATAATACATTGGAGAGAGTGAAAATGGTCATCATAACATCCTACAGCCAGGTGTGACTTCATCAAATATCTTGTTTGGACCAAAACCCAGAAATATTCAGTCTAAGATAATGCAAGACCAAGATAAGTACCAAATTCTCACATTTGAGCACATGAAACTAAAAAAAAATGGCAGTGATTTAAACAATTAATTGACTGTCTGCTATTTAATTTTTTGTTGATCAATAGAATAATTGTTGCAGCTCTAATCTTTTTAGCTGCTGTTTCTTGTGGACTGCTCCTGATCTTTTTTGTCATTTGGTTTCTGTTGGTAGGGAGAAGTTGGAGAGCCTGGAGTTCCTGGGGATCCAGGTGCTAAAGGAGCAAAGGTCATTCCCATTTCAATATTGTATCGTTAGCTACTGTGGTATTTTAGACAAAGACAGGTTATGACTAACTGGATGTGCACATTGATTTATACATTTAAACAACCTCCAAGTATTACAAGCAGCCTATGTACTGTTAAATATGTATGTAAATATCCCCCTGCCCCATGGAAGTTTTCATGTCTTAGTGCTTTACAATATCAAATGAAAGTAAATTAATGTGACTTTGATCAACAAAAAAAGACCCTGTAACATCAAAGTGAAAACATAATGCTTTTACAATTTATTACAAATATTAAATTTTAAAATACTTGTTTGCTTTGTGCTGATCTTTTTTTTATTTATTTATTTGTCCCCAATTTATTGCAGCCGATTCATTAAAATAATGCACGCATCAGCCCCAATACTGATCCTTAGGATCAGCTCGGAATATCTTTAGATATCTTATTATACATTAGTACCCTTCCTCTTTAATACAAGTCTCATAATTAGTTAAATCACTGTATTCAAGGGGTTTTATTTGATTGTACGTAGGTCCAAATTCCAAGGGGGTGAATACCTTTTATAGTCATTGAACTGCTCAAGTCAATAAAACATGATGTGTTTTTCACAGGGAGATAAGGGAAATCGTGGCCTCTTCGGATCAGAGGGCCTTCCAGGAGTCCTAGGCACACAAGGACGAAGAGGGTCAAAAGGAGAAAAGGGTTATGCTGGCTTAATGGTAAATAAGTCTTAATAACTTTTTAACCATCAGACCACCTGCCTATATCATCATCTGTGTATCTACTGTACAGTGCCTCTCCTCATCACATGTACTTTTATTTTAAGGGTCAAGGGGGGCTGATGGGGAAGATTGGACCATTAGGTTTATTAGGACTACAGGTAAGTTACCCTCTGCCCTCAAGAAAGTAGATATACTTTCTGTTAACACCACACTGTCTGATCATGGCTTGTAAGCTGCAGTGTAAATTTGTTATCTCTGCCTGGCTTAAGCCTCGAGGGGATCATGCATTTGGTTGTGTGTGTGTGTGTGTGTGTGTGTGTGAGTGAGTGTGTGTGTGTATCTTTCTTTCCGCAGCTATTTTAGCAAACTACCAGACCAATCTTCCTAATATTTTGTGTGCACATTTATGAATGTATATTCAAGAATCTTTCTTGGTTGTGGTGATTCACAATTGTTGAAAAACCTGTATGATTGACTGATTATTACCGTAGTACCATAGAGCAAAGGGCATTCCTTGAAATCATTCTGACTAAAAACAAGAAGCCTTTCCTAGTGCTTCCCTTTTCCACCAATGTGGAACCAGTTCCATTACGGTTCCTGCACGTAATTTCAAACTGTTGAGAGCATTTCGACCAAAAATAATTAGTTTGGAACCTGAAGAGTTGGTCCAGGTGCAACCAACAAATAGCAGATTTTCCTCAACCTGAATTGTGAACCATGATGACAGCAGTGGGCGTGTCATATTGTGTGGGTTAGAAATAGAGGATGGAGAAGTCAAGTGAGAAATAACTGGAAAAATACCCTTTGCAGTGGTCTCATTTATAGTGGTTTCATGCTTGTTTTGGGGTAAAAACAAATATCTGTAATAACAGAACAAAAGCTTTTATCAATGTCATCTGCAATTTTACCATTACTGTTTATTTCTGTTGTGCATTGTGCAGTGTTCTCCGTTAATGACATATCCTTAATTACAAAGGTTCCACACAAAACTGGTGGAAACAGAGGCTGGTTTGCTAGATACAGCACCAAAGTTCCAAGAATCCTGAACAGAACCGGTTCAAGAACCAGTGCCAATTTGGTGGAAAAGGGGTAAAAGTACACTTTTGCTTTTTCTGGCGTTCACCTGCTGAAGCTCAGTCTGACAGCTGCTGTCAGTCAAACACTGTCATGGCCCTCAAGTCTGCTGAGAGGAAAAGGAACGTTCCTGATTTTTTATTAAAGACCTTTTTTCCTTCGATAATCCAAGAATTATTACATTTTAAAAACACGTTGACGGTATTTTTGACTATAAAGAGGATGACTAAATGTTGTTTTTTAACCTTTATTTTACCTTTATTTTATTTTCAGTTGGACTTCAAATATCAGTGGCCGTTAACTGATAACTGCTGTGAATTTGCATCTTTTTCAGGGTTTTCCAGGTATTTTTGGGATTCCAGGATCTGACGGGCCACCAGGACAGAAGGTACACAGCATGTTCTGTAAAGCTCTATCAGAAAAAAGCTCTGTCAAAAAAAATAAAAAATAAAAAAATAAAAAGACTGATGTTGTGTTGAACTGTATTGACTGTGTTTTAAAGGATAGGTTTGGACTTTTTAAAGTTTGCCCTAATACAATACTCATATGCCAAAACTACATAGAGAGAATATACTGTAGGCTGCTTCATTCCTCCTCTTCATATTGGCTATGAAGCCAGCCATTCCTTATCAGACTTCACTGGAAGAGATGCTGGACAAGATACAGTCCTCATTTTGACCAAAAATATATTCCAATGCTAATAATAGGCTTCAACAGTCTGAGTTAGCCAAATCAAGTGTGTATCTTTGTCCTGGCAGTATTGTGTAAGTTTTTTCTTAGCAAGTAACCTACATGCAACTGCCAGGAAGTGTCCCTCCCCCACGGCTCAGCAAGGAAACATTGTCAGTGGAAATACATAGAGGGATATGTTTTTTTTAACTGAAAAGACCAATTTTAATAGAAAGAGTCCTTTGACTTGACAAATCTGACTTAAAGCCATGGTTTATGTGCAGTATCACGATAAGTTAGCAAATGTCATAAAGTTTACTTTTCAAAGAAACCGAACCACTGTCAGAAATTAAAGACATGTATGAAAGGTGTGTGATGATATGCAGTCACTTTTTGATAAGCTGAACTTTTCTGTCTATAGGGGGACAAAGGTCCTGCTGGTTTGACTGGGGAGCCGGGAACTCGAGGCCCAAAGGTACAGAACTCAGCTTCCTGACAGTCACAGTCTGTAATGTGAAGCAACAGTCCATCTATCAGTGTTACTACTTTTGATTCCCCAAACACTGTACTTTGTCTAACTGCAGGGGGTGGCAGGAAGCCCAGGTGTGAAAGGTGACATGGGAAAGCCTGGACTAGTGGTGAGTGCAGTCCACAGTACAGTATGACAAACCATTATAGTGTTGCTAAAGACAGATGCCCCAGAAACATTTTTACTTTGACTTCACATTTTCCGATATGTTATGACCCTGTGGAGGTTTTTGTGTAGGCAGCACTAAATGGAAACTAAGGGAGAGTATTATGAAACATAAAGTTGGCAATGAGGAATATTTCACATTTCACATTCACACTGTAAAACAACACAACAATAACCCTGATTATCTCAAAGCAGTTCGCATTGAGATCATCCTTAAGTCTAAGGCCACCAAAGTTTTTATTCCCAGCTAAAAACGACAAGTGCTTCTCAACTGGGAGTGCTTGAGAGCACTTTGGAGGCGCACTGTTTTTTTCAGCTTAGACAGTGGTTGAGTCGTGTTGTTATGATTCTGAATATCTCCAGTAGTAAAATGTTGGTGCAAGGTAGAGTACTTGCTCTGGATGAAGGGAAGGCTGAAGCAAGTAGGGAGAGAGGACAGAACATATTTTCCTCTATTGCTTTTGTTGTTTAGCACTTGTACATTTTGGATGTGATGGTTAGTCTCCACAATGTTTGTCCCTCCTCCACTGTGATTGAACAGCTAGGTAAAATGTGACAGTGAATGCCGCATGTTAGCTAAAATTTAACATCTTTGAATTCTCAGAGATTTAAAAAAAAAAAAAAAAAACACTCAACAGGTAGTGCTCAGCGCAGAATAGAAATTAAGTGCATTGTCGTGCTGCTGGCGGCTCGGAAAAAACACTTTGGTGAACACAGCCCCTTAGAGAGGAAAACAGGGGAAAACTACTTCAGAGGCAACTTTTTGGATTTTAACCCTCTTGTTTGCAGGTTTTTGCCTTTGACACCAAAGCAGAAAAGTCTCTACTTGTTTTGCATAAAGTGAACATGTACTCTAGTTTTTCTTTCTTTCTTTCAAGTTGCCATTTAATAATATCACGTTGACAAATCGATAATCAATTTCCATTGTCTGTATAGAATCATGACATGACCCACTGGATTGTGGACTCCTGTTTGAAAGCCTTGAGTCTAGCATTTTGGTTGTTGCCATCTTGGATTTTTCCAGCTTGATGTGACCATATTTGGACGAGAGGGAAGAGCTAACCCAAACGCTAGATGCGGGCTTAGCATTGTGCATTTACAGCAATGGTTATGATAATGCTAATTTTGATTATGAAAAACAGGCTGAAAACCATTAACCAAATTCTAAACAAGACATTTTTTAGGCGACCAAAACATTACAATTAACTTTCAAGAACTGAAAACACCCTAAAATAGTGACAGCTACAACTATGCCTATACTCTGAAACTGGGGTTACACAGTGGTTACATTACCTTACACTTACGTTATGTTACCTACATTCTTGGTTGTATGATAGCAGTCTTTCAGTATAAGCAGTCTGTTCTCAGACAAACACAGAGAATACAGTCTGACTTGTCCAACATTCTCCACGGTGAGTACGAGCTTTTACCCTCAGACAGATGATACTGGATGCCCAGATTTAAACTGAATAATTTTAAAAATTCATTTATGCCAACCTAAATTAAGATTTTAAATAACGTTGCTTGATGCTTTAGGGGTTGTGGTGTGCTTTGCTTATGGTGCTCTGTTGGGTGCTGGGGTTCTGTGCAATACATGAATGGCTGATGTGCAAAACTGTTATGTGTAGTATATGTTTTTATGGTCTGTTATTGTAAGGCAGCTCCTGAGTACAAGATAAATTTCCCTACAGGGACAGCAAGTATATCATATTGTATCGTACTGTACCGTATCGTACCATACTGTACCGTATCGTAGTGTCTTGTCAGGGGACAGCAACCATCTGTCACTCAATGCAGCCACACCCTCAGTTATGTATAACTTAATAACATTTAAACAGGTGAGTTATATATAAATTCACCCCTCGTACAGTTGTCATGACTGACTCACTCTTGGAGCCAGTCTCAAGTGGCCGTTAGAGGAACTCCAGTTTTTGGCACACAAGACCAGCTTAGTTGACTTCTTCCTTGCCCTTATGACCAAGCACAACTTTTTGTGCTTCAGGGGTCTGCAGGAGTCGCAGGAAAACCAGGTGATTCTGGTTCAAAGGGCTTTTCTGGAGTTGAGGGTTTGAGAGGAGAGCCTGGGCAGAAAGGGGAGCCAGGAGAAGTGGTGAGAATCACAGCAATTGTGACTGCTTCATCAAATATGGAAGGAAAAACAACTATACATATGAATTTCTTAAATGTATGATTGATTGATGGTGATGGTCTACGTGATTGCAGGGTCTTGATGGCCTGCCAGGAAGTAAAGGACATCCAGGATTACCAGGGCCAGAGGTAAGACCAGGACCTACATATGTGATAAGAGACTTTATCATCTTAGATTTTGGACATGGTAATATGGTAATTGTTGTCTTTTCCTGGGTTTAAATGTTGCATTACAATAAAGTGATTTAATTTTCTTAACTTACCAGACTGTTCTAGCTGCTCTATGATTTGCCTTGAACCACTTAGTCATTATATCCACATTACTATGATTACTTAACAAAAATCTCATTGTGGGAATATTTAGTGAAGGCACTAATAGTTGCATCAACAACATTGTTGCAAAATCAATATTAAGGTATTTGGTCAAAAATAATGGGATATTTGATGCTCTGCATATTTCCCAACCCAGTGTCACTAGCACCAACACTAACATTACCAAGCAGTTGATATCAATGTTGAAAGAAACGGCCTTTTGTGTTTCCATTCTCCAGGGTGTGGAGGGGGAGATGGGAGATCAGGGTCCTGTTGGCCCTCCAGGACCTCAGGTCAGCACTGCCCCTGAAACCACACACACAGTCACATATTATGTCACACATGCACGCTCAGTATTGTGAACACTCTTAAAAATAAGAATCACTACCTCCATCTGTGTTGTCTTCAGGGACCAAAAGGTAGACCTGGGCTGGAGGGAAGGAATGGACAAATTGGTCGAAAGGTCAGCTCAAGTCTGTGTCTGCATATACACAAACTGGTAGACTGGTGCACCTTTTCAGCATATCACAATTTGCTTTTGTCACATAAACATTGCATCTGAAATAAAAAAAACATCATCAGAAATTAAAGGTAAAGGAAACTGTTAATATTCTGTATTATTCTCCTTGTCATTAATCCCATGTGCAGCCACCTGTCTCAACAATGAATGTATCAGAGCCTGATGAATCCTTTTCCTCTGTGCCTCTGATATTGATTAATCTCAGTGAATTGAATTTCAGGGAGATGATGGCAAAAGGGGACGTCCAGGGAAGGATGGACGCATTGGAAAGAGGGTAGGATGACACACCTGACATCTAACATGAATGTGAACTTGAATTCATTTTAAAATCTATGGTATTCTTTTTAAAGGGAAAAAGAGGGAAAGCTGGAAGTAGAGGCACAAGAGGAAGGCAAGGAGAGAAGGTCAGTGGATGTTGATCCTGACAATATGTATCAGCTTTTACCTGCAAAAAACTTTACTCTGACTTCAGCGTTTTTGTTTTCCACATTAAAAATGACTTGAGGCTAGTCAGGGTGTTACGATGAATCAAGTCTTGATCTTTCTCTGGCTTTGCAGGGAAAGATGGGAGATTTTGGTGCATTTGGTCCTCCAGGGAGACTCGGCACATTTGTAAGTTTTATTTAACCTTATCAGCTTTTTTGTTGTGAATTATTCTTTTATTAGAGTTAATCATCAGTGTTTCTCACATTATATTGTATTTAATACATTCTGATTGGACAGCAAAAGTGTGACTGTTGTGCTTTATCTTTGTCATCTTGTACTGTAAATATGGGATATATTGTATAGCTATACT